GATAATCCACTTGGTGCCGCCCTTTTTCAAGCGTGCTCGCATCCTCCACGGACAAACGCCGTTGTGATTTTCACACACCATGATCAATCTTTTTGTATCATTTTTAGCTATAACAGTTGTATGATACTCCGCCATATAAAATTATTTTATAGCCATCTGCACATCATGCTTGTTATCAAAAACTTGGTCTTTATATAGCTCTTGACCCATTTTCCAGTTAGGTACTTGTGTTCCATCCATTATCGGCAACTCCTAATCTGGGTGTGCCCAATTGATAGTCGTAAAGTGACTTATTTGAGACCAAAAAGGAACAATCTTGTCTCCTATATCAAAACATATCCGCCACAATCGTTTAACACTGTTACACAAATATAATATTCAATTACTTTTCATGAATTTTGGTTGCTAACCTGCAACTGGCGGGTCGTGCCCTCCAACAATGCCCGATGCAGGAATTGGATGACACATGGCGGTGGACGGACAAGAATCGAAACTTCCCTCCACATTGGTGTCAGATGAGTCAATTTCGAGTATAACCCCTTCATCCGTCCAGCTGTCTAAGCTGTCGGTACAGCACGTCGGAGCATACTCATCTTGGGTAGGATGCAATTCAAGTGACATCGGTATCAATGGTGGGGTGACATTTATCTATCTTCAGGATTCACCAACGGCTCTCTGTTCATGTCGATCGACTGAATGGAAGGGTCAGAACGTTGACTACTAGATTGTCCACCAGAGTCTATTTCCGCATACGACTCAATAAATGTGGAGTCTGGATGCAGTCAGAATGCATCTACTACTAAGGCAATATCTTCATCCTCAACAATCTCCACCAGAATCCAACTTTATTTACCTGAGGCACATCGAGCAATCAAGCGAGAAAGAGATTGACCACATTGTAATCTCAATTTCCTGTATATTGTCTTCTTCAGTTCATTAACGCTACATTGTGGGCTCATGCGAAATACTTTTATATCTCCTTTAAAAACTTGCCCATTAAGACAAAAATATTTCCTCCCATTGTAATAGACTAATGCAATTAATGAATCATTGTTATCACTCATTTTGAAAAAAATTCGGTGAAAAAAAAAACACAATAGAAATTAACTGAAGAGAGAAATAAACCCACACTGATGCTTGAAACGAGAGCAAAAGTGGTGTATTTGTTAAGCTAAAAAATGTTGGACTGTTGGGCTAGTTAAGATCTGACACACACGTAACATGTTATCATGTTTTTCATGTGTCAAAAAAACTGACACGTAAAATGCTATGCTGCATAGCGAGTTTTACACGTGTCATCAAAAAAGTTAACACCTAAGACGCCACGCTACCTGGCATTTTAGGTCACGTGGCAGAAGCTGTCTGCCACATAATCTCGCGGCACTGGATAGCGGCTTACGTGGCCCATATGTGCACACCTAACTCGCCAAGTGTTGTAGCGAGTTAGGTGATGTAGCATTTTGGAAAACAAATTTCAAACTGTGGCATTCAGGTAATTTTTGTGAAGAATGTGGCACTTTGGTTGTTGTTCGAAATCATTAAGCATGTACAGTACTGTTGGAATTAATTATTCTTATGAATAAAAAGTTTGATCTAAAAAGATGTGTTGTCTAGTCGTCGAATGGGTACGTTGTTTCATCTTTAAATGAGTGTTATTTAAATTGACATTACGTTTTTTATGAATAAATAAAGAATTAAAATTTAATACGAGTTTTTTTCCCTATTATAAATAAATGAATTTCAATTTTTTTTAAATTCGTCAATTTGCGACGGAGGTTATTGAAAATTTTGTCACAAAGTTGACAGTTAATTTACAACGAACTTCATAATTCCTTTGCAAATTTGCAACGGCAAATCCGAATATATTCATCGCAAATTTGCGACCTTATCTTCAAATAATTTCATCGCAAATTTTGCGACAATATTTTTTGTAACGTCGTCGCATTCATATTTCTTGGGCATTATAGAGAGAGAGCAAAATTGTCTTAAGGATTCAATATTTAACACTGCCTTAAATTTTTTCTTATTGCTTTCATATATTTTTGTACGGTATACTTTAACTTTATGTTATTGCATGTTTCAATTTCTTGTGTGTATTTCATGGAATTGTGTATATTGTTAAAGCGATTTCTCTACCACAAATTATCCTCTCTCAATGGTTTTAACATCACTTTTCCAACAACTACTAAATTATAAGAAAAATTCACGTTTTTACCTTGTCATTAGGCATGCATATTATAAATATTTGATTCTTTCCCTTTTAATCACACAAATAGTTTGGATGGAATAGCATTTTCTATATAATATTTACTTCCATGGCAAGCAATAGATAGTTTATACATACCTCTTAAAGTTCTTGTGAAGCCAATTATTCTACTAAAATCTTGGATTGATAAATGAAATATAAGAAAGAGAAAGATCAGTTTACAAAAAAAATTTACAAATTTTTGTAAAGTACACTATGTACCCCGGGAGAACATAGTGTAACCTAGTGCTCTCCCAGAAGAACATAATATAATTTGTAAAAATTTGTAAATATAACCCTCCCCGTATAAGAAAGAGTGTGAAGTGCATAAACTAAGAGCTAGTTTATGGAAGACAAAGGAGAGAGGGGCTGAAAGAAAACAAACAAAAGGAGGGAAATCAATTATTTTTGCCGCTGGTTTTAAGCTCATAGTATACTAGTTAGGTTGGAGCTACTTGTTTTTGTTTCAGTGAAACTATAAAAGGGGCGAGCGATTGGTCAATATAAAACTTATTCTAAAATTCTGTTTCTTAGTACCTATGGTACAAATAATGATATTATATCAAAAAGGTACCGAAGAAAATTCGAAATTATGGATGTAGTTACCAACTAAAAAAATTAAAATAAAATAACGCGATTTCCACTCTTCATATTTTAAAAGTTTTAACACTTCGTAAGAGAGTTCGGAGTGACAATTTTCAACATGATCCGCTGATACGACACGAGCACGACACATTTTCAAATTCTTGTCATGAGTTGGGTTGGCAAAAAATGATTCACAAAATTTTGTCTTATGACGTCTATCAACCTGCGAACCGAAAATTGACTCGTATTAATTTTTTTACAAATTATTCATGTCATGTTATAATTGGGTTATTTGTGTCTTATTATGTCATGTCAACTTGCATAATAAGTAACATAATTTGGATTTAATAGATTATTCATGTCGTGTCCTGTCAACCCACATAATAAGCGACGAACTACGAGTTTGCAAGTTATTCATGTTATATTGTGTCAACCCACAAAAAAAGCGGATTGTGTTCATGTCAAATGTTTTAACTTGATTTTATATTCATGTTATGTTTGTGTCGAATTCATGTCGTGTCGTGTTGTGATCTCTAAAGAGAGTTAGATAGGTTGCTTTGGGAGAAAAGGTTGGGAAACGGAAGAAAAAGAGAGAATAAATAAATGTCTCAAATGTATGTTAAGCATGATGATTATGGGCTTGTTCCTTCAATTAAATAATGAAGAACCGGGGGCGGGGGGAATGTCTTTTTGTGCTAAAGACAACACAAGCAAAATATAAAACATTACGGTATATTATAATCTGATTTTCTAACGGTGTTTCCCCTCCATTGTGCAATTGGATGCTTATGTTTACCTTAGATAAGTTTACATTTTGATCTCAAACTATTCATGACAAGTATATTATATTAACACAAGAGAGTTGCCTTTATCATTATACATGCACGTTATGAATATATGATGACTTGATGAGCAATATTAGGCAAATGATCTATTTGGTTAGCAATTCTTATCCCATGAAGCTCAAGACAACATAAGTTATTAGAGTTGGTTAAATTATGTGGCCTTTTCCCTTTCCATAGATAATGTGCTATTTTCCTAGGTCTTGTTGTACATAGGGCAGAAACAGAGAAAAAAATTCACTTTCAGTTTCAGCATTGTCAAAATTAAACTCCCCACTGAAAACCCTGATTCCCATCTGGTTAATTTAAAACAACTTATTTTTCTTTCCTTTTTTCTAAAATTTTAGGATAGGTTGAATCTGCCCAAGGTAAATGGACTAAATTATCTTCCATTTTTTTCCAATGAAATATCATAAGTTTTATCTAAAATTTATGTAGTATGAGACAATTTAATCAAATAAAATGATCAATATTAGAATATCAATTAATAAAATAACCATAAAATGGTAAATGCTCCAAAATTTAAAGGAATCTGAACAAAACATCCACGGGTTGAATTTTCTCCTTTTATTAATAGTCTCAGTCAGTTGTTATTTCTTTAAAAGAAAATCGACTAAAGCTCAAATAGTAATTGAATAATCTCAGAATATCACATCCTTGATATCAGTCTTTATTTTTATTTATTATTTTTTAAAACATTAAGTGCTATTTAACTTGATACCATAAAACAAGTTAGTGGTAAAAAGGGTAGTGATTCTAATGAAGCTACACAATCCTTCAGTAAAGTTTCCATATTATTATGACAACTTTTTTCACAAAAAGGGGGGAAACAATAAAAAAGTAAGTAAAAAGGAGGTTCCTGTGGGATTATTATGTGGTCCCTCCATCTTTAAATTTTAGTATAGTTGCTGAAAAGTACGAGGGCCATTGAAAAATAAGTGATTGTTTCTTCGGTTTGTGCCGTGTAACCGAAGTTATAAATTGACCAGACACCCCGGCTTATTTGTAACTTGAACCAACGAGTGGAAAGCGAGTGTGGTTTTTTGTTTTTCTATAAATCCCACGTTGAGCAGAGGAAGCATCCACATACCATAACAGCAACCTCTGTTTTGCTCTGTTTTTTTCTGCTATATAAACTTCTGCCCTTTCTTTTCATTACTCAGTTCAGTTCCCAGAGTTTCTTTCAAAATTTTCTCACAAAACAAAGGATGACTAACAAGAATGTGGTGGCTCCTGTTGTGGCTTTCGTAATGTCGAGTGTTATACCAAGAGGAGCAGGGCCTGAAATAATGGCTTTGCTTGGTGGGTTTTCGGGCCCATACCAGAAGAAAATCATGAAAACGTTGGAGGATGGAGGTGGAAAAGGAGGAGCTAAAGTTAACACATGGGTTGATTCAATGAGAGCTTCATCTCCCACTCGAGTCAAATCTACCGTACCTAGTTCAGAAAATCAAGAACAAAGCCCTTGGATTGTAAGCATAATTGGAGCCTTTTTTATTAAAAATTTGTGTGCTTGAACCTTTTTTTGGTGTTACATCAATGGTTAATTAACTGACTTGATTCTGTTTCTGTTTTTCAAAACTGTTTGCAGCTTTACCATCCTTCGGCGCTTAGCATGTTTGATCAGATAATAAATTATTCGAAAGGGAAACAGATTGTGACCTTTCTTGACTATGATGGAACTCTCTCCCCAATTGTCGCAGATCCAGATAAAGCATTCATGAGTAAAAAGGTTTTACCTTTTGTTCTCTCTTGTTTCACTCTCATATATCAATTCATAAAATCTATAGAATATAACTTATTTGCAATTAATTTTCCTTCTTTTTTTTTTTAATTTGTCGTTAAATCAGATGAGAGGGACATTAAGGGACGTAGCCAGGCATTTTCCCACAGCTATCGTGAGTGGAAGGTGCATAGACAAGGTACATTTTTCTTCAAAGCAAAATTGCAAAAAATAACTCAAAAAATTAAAAAAAAAAAAAATGATCACTTTTTGCAGATTACTAATTTGGATTTTCTTTCTAATTTTCTTTCAGGTATACAACTTTGTAAAATTGGAAGAACTGTACTATGCTGGAAGCCATGGCATGGACATCAAGGGACCAACAAATAGCCGTGGTACTAAGAAAGTAAGAGATGATTTCTATAACTAATTAAATTAATGATCAAGATTTGATCTTGCTATTCTTTCTTCTTAGCTTAGTAATTTCTTCTTGTGTTTCAGGGTAATGATCAAGCAGTACTCTTCCAGCCTGCGAGTCAATTCCTGCCCATGATCAATGAGGTTCGTTTCCTTTTAATTACCACGAAATTGAACCTCCCTTTTCTTCATTCTGGTGACGCATAAGATTTTAACTGTGTCCAGTTATTTATTTATTTATTTGTTTATTGGGGTCAGGTGTACAAGATCCTGGTGGAAAAAACAAAGTCTGTCCCTGGGGCTAAGGTAGAAAATAACAAGTTTTGCTTGTCCGTGCACTTTCGTTGTGTGGACGAAAAGGTACCAGACCAGCAGTCAACAGAAATTATTTTAATAGCTTGCTCACCCCAACATACGCACACGCACACGCACGAAACACGTTACTTGATGGATACAATTATTTTATATCTAACCATTTTACCTCTGTTTTTTTTCTTAGAGTTGGGCACCACTAGCGGAGAAAGTTCGATTAGTACTTAAAGACTACCCAAAACTTAGGCTAACCCAAGGGAGAAAAGTGCTAGAGATTCGACCAACCATAAAATGGGACAAGGGCAAGGCTCTTGAATTCTTGTTAGAGTCACTTGGTGAGTATTCATGCAAAAATAAAAAATAGCCTTCCTTTAAGAACTAAAGGAGTTGGTACGTTATATCATGAGCCATATGTCTTAACTTCATATTCTTTTTCGATTTCTAGGATATGCGAATTCTGCTAACGTATTTCCAATCTATATTGGTGATGATCGAACTGACGAGGATGCTTTTAAGGTAACAATTGCCGCCACCTTGCTAATTGTTAAAATTATTGGGCTATTATATATGTTCCACGTATATATTATTATTATTATTATTATTATTACTTGTTGACATTTTGGATATAATATAATCCAGGTTTTACGCAGTAGGGGCCAAGGGATTGGGATTCTTGTTTCTAAAATTCCAAAAGAAACAGATGCTTCATACACTTTGCAAGATCCATCAGAGGTAAGTCCAACATGATTCATAGTCTTGTATGTGTCTGTCGTTGCTTAATTCAAGCATTAATCTTGTATTTCTTTTTCATATATATGTTAATGATGAATCTGAGCTATATGTTAACTATATGCTTTTTGTTTACAGGTGGGGCAATTTTTGCGGCGTTTGGTGGAGTGGAAAAGAACGAGTTCTCACTCCCACGAGTTGTAGATTATAGATGAGTTCAGGGAATTGAGTCCCACTCCTGAATTTGGTCAAGGGGTGGTTCGAATACTATCCCTTTCTTGTTAAAATAGGAAATATTATTGTTTTTAAATTTTTAGGGACAAAGTCCAAATAGATTCTCTCTCTCTCTCTCTCTTAAGAAGTGTTCTATTCCTTCACACGTTTGCATGCGCATGCGGCTAGTGAAAGACAGATGTTTTATGCCCCAGTTACAAATGGCGCGTCAACCTTCTTGCTCTGAAGTGTACTTATCGTACGTGTGGACAATAAACACTGAAAATGAAACTTCAGCTTGAAAAGCTGATTTAGACAATCATAAAAACAAATTGAGTTGATCTGGAAGATGATGTTATAATGAATAATATTGAGAGGGTAAATACGTAAAAATATTATAATAAATGAAATTGTGCAGAAAAGTTTTATATAAATTCATAAATTTAGAAATATAAATGCTAAGAAACGAGAACGAATTTTAGTACTATAAATTTGTTTATATAATATTATTCACTTTAGGATATTTAATTTAATAAAAGTTACTTTTTCTTTTTGTCAAGATAAAAAATAACTAAGATAAAAAGAAGTTCCTCTTTTAATTGTTTAAGTAATGCATATATAAATACTGTTACTTTCACCACGTCTGTCAAAGAAGGTATAGAAAAATTCATATGTATATCGCATATTCGAATTCTTGTTCTAATTGTATTAAAAACAAAAAACTGTACATGAGATCACGATTCTCTACGGTTAAAAAAATAAATATAGAGGATCATCATAAAAAATGGCATTTTCTGTAATAAAAAAAGATTATAAATATAGTTTTGCCAAATATACACTGAAGGATTATAACTGCACGGTGGTATTGTTTGTTTCTAACACCAGAGATCCAAATCATATAAATGTTTACGACATCACGGTTATAGTAACTATTATTTCAATCTTTATAGGTTTGACCTCGATCTTGGTATAAATTCAAGCTTTGTTGATAGGGGTCAGTCACCAAACTGCATATGACATAAATATTGTGACTCGAGAAACTTGTGGATAGCATGTCAGCCGCTCCAGGAGGAGCGGGAGATTGTTATCAATGGATTAAGTTGGATCAACTATAATAAATGAGTCTCACATCATCTCTCAATCCAAAATTTTAAATCATTGAATTCATGGATCTTCTCATTTATATGCATCACTAAGCTCATTATCAATTAATATAAAACTATCACACTTGAATAATCTATCATAACAGTGTTCTCGAGTGTTAAAGAACTAATTCAACCCAAAATCTTAAAGTGTTGGGTGAAGGTCTTTTTAATGATTTATATATATTCTCTGAACGTGAATATGGCACAAGCCCATTATTGGTCCGCCTTGTGCTGCACAAACTCATTTTTTGTCTACTTTGTGTTTTTCTTAATTCCACCTGAAAGTGGGGGTGGTGAGGATCGAACTTATGACTTCATGGTCACTGAAGCTCTGATACCATGTTAGAAAATCAATTCAACCGAAAATTTTAAGATGTTGAATGAGAATCTTTTTAATGATTTATATTATATTTTATAAGATCGGGTTTGTTTATATATTCCACTAAAGAACTCTGGCTTATAGGTCTTGCCTCCAAGTAAATGAAGGTGATGACTAAAAAAACTGAAGATACGAAAACCATGTGAAATCTAGAACTTGGTGTATCTACCCTCATTTTCACAGTCAGAGCCTGAAAAATCTTTCACGGGAGTTGGGACACATGTAACAAAACGTACAGTTGTCAAGATGCCTCTTGTCATCATTGGTATAAAATGGAAATCACTAGTTAAGAAGTGCACGCGTGTTGAGATTGTATTTGCGTTTGGATTTATCCCCAGAAGAAAATGATAGGAACTTTAATAATTAGGAGGTTTGTCTTTTTATGAAGACATATGCCTAGCACGTACACCGACACAAATGTGAGTGGCTAATTGCGTTGCAAAAACTTAATTTTCTGTGTGTATCTTTTATGAGTTTTTAAAAAAAAAATGTATAAATTTATGTGAAAAATACAATATATTATACTTCATATAATTTTATTTTTAAAAAAAAATGTAATGATATATGCCGTACAAAAACTATTTGTCCATAAATAAGGAAAGTCATGAGTTGGGAATTCTTCTATTTGTTCAGTATTTTTTTATTTTTTTTAACAATAGTTCGGTTGGGGTAGATCGATGTCTTGTGAAAAGAGAGGAAAGAAGTCCATAAGTTTAGCATGCAAGCATCCTTATCATCATGAGTCATGTGTTGTACTTGCCTCAAAATCCGACTGTGACTAATAAATCCACATTATTGTGCATATACTTCTATGTCATGTTTTGCCTTACGTCTTTCTCAATAACCATGTAATAACTGTTCAAAAGGTATAAATTCAAACTTTAGGTAGAGCATAGATACTATACCAAGTTGGCCGGAAACCCTGATGGCTCCTCCTTTCGGTTATCAACTATCCATATTCCTGTAGTTGTTGACCACATTTTCCTTACTCGAATTACGCATATTGCATTACTAAATTAGCTACGAATTAAGACACCTAACAATCTCAAAGGAATAACCCTTTTAATCACAAAACCCTAAAACAAAACACTTGCATTATTATTGCCAACCACCCTATTCCTTATATGGTCAAGGTGTTGTGCTGTGAAATGAGTTAGTCATGCCATTATCAAACAAAGGATAGTAAATTTGAAGATATACATGACAATTATAGTCTCCGACTCAACGTACATAAATTAACCTGCTTGGTCCTGTACCTCCCAACTTGTATACAGGGCATCTATTTTCACCCTTTTGTCAGACATAGTTCGAAAAAGACATGGGAACAAGGATGAATTTTAATAAGCTTTAATAGGACCGAGATGAAAGTTGGAACGGATGGTACCGTCATAGGGTGCCAGGAACTCTAAATCTGAAGCATATATTATTATGATCATTGTTATATATATTTAGGACAGCTCCTAATAAAGATAAAGTGAGAATATCTGGGATAATAAACTAATTAAAAGAATCACTTAGGGTTGATCTTGATCCTAATTCCTAACATCCCCTACCATTAACAATTGAAAGCCCTATCCTTGTTTGATTAGGATATTGAACCTAAACATAGCCTTATAATTGCTCTCTAAAAGATGCCTAAACCGTTGGCCGCCTTGATTTGATTTGCTCGATCAAATATCATCAGAGTGGTATCTCAAGATAGTAATTTTTTACACAATACGAGAGATCTGATTTCTAGTTTAATGGTTTATTTTCAAAGGGTTAGGTGCGTGAAAGGGAAATCCACTACTTGGTGAATCTTATAAGTGGTTGAAGAGGAGTTGGAATCCACTCAAAGTGCTTGATTTGAAGAAGACACGAGGACTCTTAATGGAGACACCAAACACGCTTCCAAGTCTTGTAACCCAGGTCTTTATTTTCATACGTGTAAAGATAGGTTACCACTAGATTCAGTTTCATAATTGGTGCCTTAAACTGAAATAAACTAAGAGAAGCCTTGGAAGCTCCAATTATTGGTACGAAACCGGCACTCCCCAACACATCTGACTGAACACCCTCATCACTCTGTTATCATGGCAATATTGAACAGCCTGCACTCATGTATGTCTCAATCATGTGCTTGATTTGTGTGAGGGACAAAATATACAAAAAAACGTGCCTCATTTCCTATTATGGGCGATATCGAGACAATTTATTAAAATATATAGGACTTGGAAATAAATCTCTTCATGTGTTATTTAACATAAATATTATGTGAGAGGATTTGAGTACTCTTTATAGACAAATTAATGGTGATGATTTTATTACTCTTATCCCTACATTTTTTTCTCCCATCTCTTGTCACGTTAATTGTCCATTCATGGGTCAAATCAAATAATACATGAAAGGATCTTCAGTTGTGAGCTTTTTGCTTCCAATAAACCACATCTGAGAATAGAAAATGAAAAAAAATAAAAATAAAAAGAGAAGGATGCTTAAGAGTTATATAAAATACCCTTTACCCTTTATATTAAAAAAAAACTCAGCATTCATAAGCTAAAAGGCCAAACCGAGGTTGTGTGGATTTTTCTAAACCCTTCTCATTTCCCATAGTAAAAATACTCTTGCGACCTCAACAACTACTGTATTAGTTTAATTATTAGTCAAGTATACTGTTGTTAGCTTTAGTAATTAAGTTAGCTAGCAAGCAACAAGGCATATGGTTCTCCGTAATGCATTATTTGCCATAGGGTCAGGGATACCCAATTAATAATGGATCTCCATAGACGTGTCGATCCGCTCTCTGCCTTTGGACTTCGATCAAATGGTCCCCACATCGAGAGTCGAGCATACATATGCTTTCATTTCTATATATGATTCGTTTACAAATTTTTTTTGAAATTTTTTACAAATTACACTATCTTTTACCAGGAGAACATAGTGTAATCAGTGTTCTCCTGGGAGAAGATAATGTAATTTGTAAATAAAAAATTTTTTAAATATAATCTGCTCCTATATTATATATAACTTTTTACAGTGTCGATTAATGATGAGTCGTTAGGTTACGGCTTAGCATTGAATAATGAGATTAAGTACTCTTATGAATAGTTGCTGCTGTTGTAGGGAGCAAATACTGGTTGTTTTTTGAGTTTCATAAAAGGTTTATTGCTGGTATCTAGCCCTTCACTCGCTGTTGATTAAAAAAGAAAGGTAATATAAACGCGCGAGAAAGTGATTAGCTAAATTAAAAGAAAGGTATATATAGAACGGATCGTTCAGCAATATATATATATATATAGCCTTTAGGCTAACATGCATCTAGCAAGGTCTTCTATTATGGGACAGATGTTGCCATAAGGAGCTAACAGTTCGCTTTAGTATAGATTCAATGCCAAAGAAAATGCTTGTATGGGTTGGCACCTTACCTTTCCCTTACCTAGAACCTGTAACTTTTAATGAACAGTAACACCATAGCTGGTAAACACCACTCGCTGGCTCATGAATGGCGTTTGTATATATGAATATGACAACTAATCGGAGGATGTTTGTTTTGCACAGGAATCACTTTTCCGGTAGTATGCTATATATATATATATATATATATATATATATATATATATATATATATATATATATATGTCCGTTTTGTTAAAAAAAAAAAAAAAAAAAAAACATTCTGCAATAAGTAGAATTAGTTTTTAAAGACGTAATTTAAAAAAAAATTATCTAATAGAATTAATTGAATTTGGAATATACTAAATTTTTAAAAATATAGTTATATTTACACTTTAAAAGTGATTCTATTTTATTATCAAAAAAATAATTCTTTTAAATTATTTTTTTAAATACTAATTTTTTTAAAATTAATTCTTTCAGCAGAGTTTTATTTTTTTCAAAATTATTTCTACTAAAATATAATCCAAACCACTCGCTAACGTTTGAGTTTCCTTTTCCAGCAGCTTTAAAGCATGAAAAAAACTAGAAAAAAGTGTTTTGGTTATCTAGTAGTCAATATTGTTGGATGCAGATTAGAGAGAATAGCAATAGTAATTAAAATTTACCAACTAAAGTTTCAGTTAATCTTTTTTAATTTTGAAAATGAATTTTTAAATTGTTTCTCTTTTCAACATAAAAAAATTACACAGAGAATTAATTCATGCGGAGGATATGCATATGAATAAGTGAAGGGTTATATTTACAAATTTTTTGTTTACAAATTACACTATATATGTTCTCCTGAGAGAACACTAGGTTACATTATGTTCTCCCAGGAGTACATAGTATAATTTGCAAAAATTTGTAAACGGATCATTCTCTATGAATAAAATCAATTTTATAAATCATGTATAAAAAAAAAAAATTATGAAACAAAAAATAATGTAAACGTGATGTAAAAAAATAAAAAAGTTGCAAGATTCGTTTTATTTTTTAACCCAAATTATTGCTAATTCAGGTTTTGCAAAACGACAAGGGAAACCATACACAGAAAGGATTTAATTCTAATTTTTTTATCAATGTAATTTTTTTTATGTTAATATCTATTTATGTGTCATTTTATTATTAAAAATGTTTTACGTTGTAAATAGTTGTTATTATATATAGTTAAATTCATAAAAAAATAATTTTCCATTAATCCCTCTATATTATTAAGGATTTCTAACTGCATATACCATTCCATCACATTAATATTTCAATAGTTTTGTAAAAGTGAGTTACTTTTGCAAAAGAAAGTCACAAACAGAAATTTCAATTTGGGATGCGAGGACTAATTTTTTTTGAAAAATTAACATTAAATTATATAAAAATATTAAATTAAAAAGAAGTAAAAGGAACTTTTGAGATTTGGAGGAGCACGACGCTTCTAGCTCCTGCCTCGTCAAAAAAAATTTATAATGTATTAACTATATATAAATGTAAATTTTAAAAAAATAAGAAAGCAAAAATACCATGTATCTTTATATACTCTTATATAAGTCTATGTATATATAAAAGTGACACGCAATTTAATAAGAGAATTCGAGTTTGAATCTACAAATAAAGAAAATAACATTGTTTATCAAAAATAATAATAATAATAATAATAATAATAATAATAATAATAATAATAATAATAACATTGGAGGAGTCGCCCCAATATAGATCCAACAATATTTGAGCTAGATTAAACCGACTTAAATACCAAATTATATCTTCTGTTACAGTATTTTTCACCCTCACCATTTAAATAATTTTTAATTGAAAAATCATTACTTCATTTTATCAACCTATATATTAGTACTCATGATAGCATTACGATAAAATGACAAGTTGATTAAATTAAAGTTATTAAACACACAAATATTAATAATTAACTAATGAAATTTTTTATAGCTGGAAGGGGAAAATAACAAATATTAGAGTCAGTACAAAAATTTTGAATTTTTTTATAATTTAAAAATAAAAATAACATAAACCATGTATATATATTTTATTTTTAAAATACTAAATTGATTTCATTTCTTATTATTTAGATGATTAGATTGATATCATTCTCTATCTTTCATCATTAAATTAGAATTACGTACGTCTTTTTTTCCAAAAACCAAATTAACGTTAACACAATCTTTCCGGCACCTATCACTCTGAAAGTTAAAATTTACATTGGCATCTGAATCTAGAAAGGGGTAGATCTAAGAACAAGAAGAGAAAACCAAATTGTTTTGTCTGTGTCAGCTATTTATGTACATTTCTGCGCTAAATACTGACTCAACGTTCAATACCGAAGGTATTAAAGAAAAAGAAAAAAAAGGGACCTAACCAACCATTTGATTTCCTCATCCCAGAGCCGTCGTAAAATGGATCTCAAATTCTGAAGACAAGAGAAAACTTGGAGTTGCGAGCAACTAGTGTCGTTTGGTTTGGCATTGTTGGGAAAGTACACCAGTGGCTTTGGCCAATGTATCCACCGTCACTTGGCACGACACGTCGTATTTCTTCGTCCCACCGTGCAACTTCCCCTTTTTCGTTCGTTCTCGGACGTGAATGGTTAAAAAGAATGTGACATTCTATACAAAAAAAAATGTGACAAGCACTTTTTTTTTTGTTGTCGTTTCTCATGCCCTCGTTGACCCCCTTAGGCAACTAGGCTTTTGAGCCTTTCAATGCTAAATTAAGCACACTTGAATTATGATGGGCTTGAAAGAAAATTGGATAGGGACCCGAAGCAATTTCTTGTTGCCAAACATGCCCTCCTTTATACAAAATGCCCACTCTTGAATTTGGATTGTGGACCTGTAAAGTAATGTTGTATTCTATTGGGTCAGGTTATTTGTGGAGAAAAAAGTGTTGGATGGATAATCTAGGGTCCTTAGGCCTATTTAACATGAGGAAAAAGCCACCTATAGGAGCCACCAATAAAGATAACAATTGTTATGTAGGCAATGATTCGCACGTAATACCAATAGCATTTCCTCTTTTTGTCCCTCTCGCGAGTGTTTCGGTGCTGCTCGGCGATGCGGGCATTTTCCAGTGGCGGAGTGCGGTAGACTTGGTCCCTGGGGACCTGGACAACGTAGCTGCCATAATGCCATTGCCGAAGTTTGCTAGCTGGAGTTGATGGGAACCGGTGGCGACTGTGGCGGCGGGCCCACCATGGGAGTATGGCCGGGGAGCGATGGGGTGAAGAGAGAGAAGAAGGGATGGTGGAGGAATGTGGGGATGTTAGCAATGAGGAAGAGAGGGGCGCAGTTTGCATGAGAGAGGTGAAAGTGGCGTTCCTGCATGCATGCACTATGCACTTTGCACGGGATAGGGGAGGATGAGAGATTGAGAAAGAGTGTGTGCGTGGTGAATGTTTGGTTTAAAATAAATGATAGATTGGAGAGATATCCCAATACTAGATTAGATTTGAAGCTGCTTTTACGGTTCAATATATTGTATTCACTTAACTAGCGGTCCCAAGAGAATTAGAGATGTCTCGATTTTCCTTAACTCGCCAAAATAAGAGGAAGTGCTGCAATATGATCACTTGCTTGAAAAGAAAAGATAGACACATCTTTGATTATTATGTCATAATTTATCCGAATTTGTTTCGAATTATTTCTTTCTTTCTGTTTTGGGTTAATTCGTCAGATCAAATATATGATCTCAGCCCACCCAGAAAGGATATAATATCAATATACAATGTGAGAGAAAGTGATCTCATCTAAATAAAGAGAACCTAAAACATTACAAATCACAATAGCTGAATTCCTACCGCAAGGAGCTAGCACATCAACTCTTTTATATATCAGTCTCTCATCTACAACTATCTGTATTGTTTATAAAGGGACCCTCTCTATCTCATTTTATTACAATTTTGTTTTTCCTAAAATATTATTTTTACTTAATTGAATGTAAATGTAAAAAAAATAAAAGAAATAAAATTGTACTCGTTACATTACAATTGAACCTGCTGGGAGCTGGTTTTGACCCACCTCACCTTAAATCTTTATCTTAAGTTAATTTTGTGTCTTGTTCCATATGCTTTATTATTTTTAAAATGTATTTATATACTTTTATGAATTAAATTGTGTTTGCATACTTATTTATATTTTAGATAGAGATTTCTTATTCATGACTTTTGATAATATAAAACGATAATTAAATTTAAAGATCGTGAGTCGTGATTGAGATCACAATAAAAAAATGTATCCCTATATATAATATTGACATGGAATACCTATTCTTTTTGGTACAATAGCGCGCGGTAGGCCCAGCCAAAATAAAAAACTAACCAGCTAACTGTATAAATAGAACATTTATTTCTACAATTATAAGAAATAATGTTCCATTACATTACCAAAAATAGGAATGTCTCATTCTTATTTTCATTTAATTTCATTCCAACTTCCCCAGAGACTTCAGGTGGTTCTTAACGAGCTATTCGTGTTGCTATAGTCATCACCGTTGCTGGAGATCCTTCCCGGCCAAATCCATGATGTTATAAGGCTTCCGGAAAAAGAATTTCCTGCGAAAATGATAGTTTTCACGGTAAGATATCCGCAAATTTTGCACTAAGCTCGTTTTATTTTTATTTTTTTGGAAATACAATGAAAACTAAAGCAACATCAAAAAAAGTCCTATACTGGGCACAATCTTGGGAGACTAACTCCCCTCAAGTCATTACGAAGCAATTCCAAACAAGCCGTTGGAGGGACATCCAACACAATCAGTTGTCCATCCTGATGAGGTGCATGAGTAGCAAGTCAATTAGCAACAAAATTGTCTTTTCTATAAGTATGACTAAGCTGAATAATCCAGTCTCTTTGAAGCATGCTACGAGCTCGGATGATTAAAGCAAAAAGAGGATGACTTACGTCACACCTTTTTCTTATAAATTCCAAAGCCACCTTGGAGTCACCCTCCACAAAGACTCTCTTAAATCCCTTATGCCAAGCCAGATCCATACATGTCAAGAACCCCCAAATTTCCGCTGAAGTAGAAGTACCACTCTCAAGAAATTTTGTAAAACCAGTTAACCAGTTCCCAGCAGCATCCCTTATGACTCCATCACATGCAGTCCTTTGCCCACTGTCTATGCTGGAACCATCCACGTTAAGTTTAACATAACCCTCAGAGGGAAAATTCAAGTGAATAAGACGTTCCTCTCTTCTAAGCTCCTGATGACCAATCTTAATATATAAGGGTTTCATTAGCCAATTGAATATTACCACAAGTATAGGTAATGCGCCTAATGAGACCATACTTCGAGGTGATAGTTTGATCAAAGATCGCCTTATTTCTTTCCCCCCACAAACACCAAGCTATCACCCCAAAATACAAAGGCCAAGTTCGATCAGTTTGAAACAGACCTTTTAATCCTAGATTTGTCTGAATCCATAGGTGAAGATCCATGGAGAAAAAGTCACTACGGTTATCAGAAGGAACCCAATGCTCCCATAATTCCCTGGCACCAGGACAATCTCTAATGGCATGTAAACTATCCTCAAGATTATAATGACATCTCAGACACCCTGCATCTGTAGCCATGTGACGATGCACTCTATGAACATTAGTTAAAAGAGAACCTCTGTAGAGAAGCCATAAGAATTGTCTAATACGTTCAGGACCAGGCCAAGCCCAAATTACCTTCCAAATCCTATCCTGATGATAATGCGAGGTACCCATGAGATAGTTATAAGCTGATTTCACTGAAAAAACCCCATCTTGGCTACCTGCCCAAATAACACGGTCCGGAGAAGGATCCACTGTAGGAGGGAGCACACTACGAATCTTGTCTAATACTGAAGTAGGAAGAAGGTGCTGAAATAAAGGCCAGTCCCAATTACCATAACAAGTTACAAATTGAGACGTAGACCAATGAGTCATAATAGGAGGAATAGGTTGAACGGCCAGAGAAACAAGTTGAGGACATCCTGGCACCCACGAATCCATCCAAAAAGACGTATGAACCCCATCCCCTAAAATGATACGAGAATTCTCTAGAGTTTGAGGCCAATACTTAACAATAGCCTTCCATAAACCAGAATCATTTGCGGAAGCCGAGATACTTGGAATGAGCCTTTCCTCCACCTTATACTTGCTACGAAGGACCCGAACCCATAACGAATTACGATCAGTCATGATTCGGTGACCTAGCTTCATGATAAAAGCCATATTATTCTCTTTAATTTTACGAAAACCAAGCCCCCCTACATTCTTCGGCAAACAGACCGTCTCCCAAGAAACCAGGTGAGCTTTCCTTCGTTCAGAAGTTGATCCCCAAATGAAATTCCTAGTTACACTCTCAATACGATCACACGTACCACTAGGAATAATACAAGTTTGCATAGGATATTGAGGAATTGCAGTAAGAACTGACCTAGCCAAAGTTGATCTTCCTGCCAATGAAAGAGTACGTTGATTCCAGGCATTTAAACGAGCTTGCATCCGATTT